TTTTTTTTTTTTCTCTATGATACCTCATATTATTGGAGGAGACAAATTTTGGTGGATTTGTAAACCTTGGGGCTTTTATGGCAAACATTTTTTTGGATATTATATGAAGAGTCATAAGGTGTTAATCAATGAATTACAAATACTCTGAACCTTCATCCATTTGCCGATATCCTTCGTCCCTGTAAATGATTTAACTGCTTGTGATAGAGTTTACATCATCTGAAGATGATTGCTTTATGATTTATCTGCTGAGAGACTTGACGATTTGTGTTTGCGAGACGAAATCATGAATATTCCATCATGCAATAATAATATGCTAATATTTTATATTAAATTATTACTGGATTAATTTATATTCTGGTAGAATTACAAAGTAGTTCAAAATGGAGAAGATAATGGCTCTCCTGCATTACTGAAACAGTCCAACCCCTTGGATGTGGCAGAGTACAATGAAGTATTACCCCATCGCTTGATACAGCCTTCAAATCTCTGTTCATTTATTCTTCAAGAATGAAAAATTTACTAGTGACAATGTTACTAATATAATTAGAACCCCCAATAGGGAAAGGGCAGGTAGAAAGATGAGCCATTGAGCCATAGGTAATCGTAATGGGCCGAGCTTGGATAAACACAATTGATGCAAAATGTGCTCGTAGGCTGGCCCATTACAATAAGGCCCACGGTCACCAATGGCCTTTCACAAGGGCTTGTTAAGGCATAAATTCAGATTATATCCTCACACCTTTTTTAATTTATTTTATTGATTATAGGTGTTGTTACAAATAAATTTGACACCATGTGTTATATTATAAATGTAAATTATAGCTAAGAGGCAATTGGCATCTCTTTTATTTTTATTTTATTTTATTTTATTTAAGCTATAAATTAAAATAAAATATGTTTATTAGTAGTGGTTACATTTTGACCATCCAAATCTTCACTATTTTAATTTAGTGAATGTGAAATGCACTTTTCATGCATAGATAACTGGGATACATATAGAAATTGAAGTTTATGTGTGTGGATGCTTAAATACATGAGGATTGAGGGGTGTGTGTGTATATATATATATATATTTTTTTTTATATATCTTCTCTATTTTAATGGGGCTTATTTCTCTTTTATATATATATATATTCTTTATTTTAAATATAAAGTTGACAAAAATGAAGTCTCCGTTACGCTTGTCATGTTTTGTATTTTTGGCCGGTTCATGTTCTTTAAACAAAGGAAAAATCTACCGGTTTATTTGAATTTTCTAATTTGGACAGGGTCTAAGTTGACTTAATTTGACATGCAAATATAAAATAAATTAAGAGAGAGAGAGAGAGAGAAAAAGATAAATTGTGAGCTTAGTTTTTAGAGAGAGAGAGAGAGGGAGAATAGGAGAGAAAAAGACTCCCATCTTCTCAAACTTTTCTTTTATACATGTTATTTTGACCCCCAATTAATGAACTAAAGTAAAAGGGCACTTTTGTAATGTGGTACCGCTCACCTACCACATCTCACCTACCGTTCACCTACCGCTCACCTAACTCCCACCGACCACTCTCTTGCTTCTATAAATAGAGAGGATGTGAGGCTTAGGAGAGTAAGGGAAGAAATCTTAAGGGTGTGAGGCTTAGGAGAGCAAGGGAGAAGAGATCTTAAGCTACCACAAAGGAGGAGAGAATAGCTATAGAGTTAGAGGAGGAGAGCATCTTGAGGCCTTGTATCAAGGCGTCGCTTGAGAGGGAGGCCATAGAAGGAAGATGAGGGCTCATCTCTATGTATAAGCTATGTATTCTCCATTTCTTTTGCCTTAGTGAAATATTTGATTGATTTCCTCCCGTGGACGTAGATCCAGTTGGATCGAACCACGTAAACGATCTGTGTTTGCTTGTGTTCTTTTTCGTCACATTTCTATGCCAGGAAGTACATATCTCACAACAATACACAAAAGAAAAGAAATATAAAATTATATCACATATGATACGATGACTATTCACAATATCTCGGGGGAAAATATTTTAATATGGGTGTAAGAGGGCGCTATAAATTAGGATAGACATGTATATTTCAATGTAATGATATTCTTCTATGATGACAAATTCATCTTGGAATGGTATGACTTCTTAACTTTGATGTGCAAAAACCTTCCCTAAATAACTGATATTTTTGGGTATACAACAACCCAATTTAATCACATAAATAATCAATATTTTAATTTGATTTTACCAACTTTTTTAGCTGTCTACTCCCTCCCTCTCTCTCTCTCTCTATATATATAATAATCGTGGACCTTTTAGAATGAAGAGCAAATAAAAAAAATATATAATTTTTAAAAGAATCGATCCATTGATTTTTTGGTTGAATCGTCGGGGTTTAACTGTTGGGACGGTTTGATGACAAAAGCATATCTATTATGTGATCTGGTTAGACTAAGAATCGGTCGATTTGATATCATAACTTTCACACTTGAAGTATTATGTAAAAAAATATAAATTTAACATAAATTTATAATTACACCAACATCCTCCCTCACGAGATTGCCCTAATAGGGCAGATTACATGGTAAGATAAGATGGGCCTAACATGCCTAATCTAATAAGAGGGATACGAGTGCTAAAGGCATCTAGTCCCAGCAGTCTAGGAAGAGTTTAGAGGGCCTCAGGCTAGAAAGGAGGGTGTCAATCTTGGTAGTAGTATCCAAGGAGTTTCTATTTATGCCGAAGCTAGACGCGGCAAGCGAGATAAAGAAAGCAGCTGGACTGCCTTGCCGCGGGAGAGTCTTTCTCCAATGATAGACTTTTTTTGGGCAAGAAAAAGAAAAGAAAGGAACTCGCCCTTTGACACCAAGGGCGTAGCGAGCAGATTGCTGGCGATGATTTGGTGAAATTCAGGTGCGTAGCAATGAGAGAAGGTTCTCGAACCTATAGACATAGACTCTAAAGCAACACGACTTCGGTGGAGATTATGCGCCAATATCAAAGATTGAGAATCTCAATTTACACGTATGTTTCTCAGAGCTTTCTTCCCTCAGCCTAATCATGCTGAAAACATGCAATTCGATGCTTCCTACGTCGGAAATCAAACACGATTTCTAGAAAACTTGATTGCTGGCTCATTTCTTCATAGGTACCCGCAGTTGCATTCAAGTAATGTCCTTGAATTTCACCCGTTTCGGCTTGCGCTTTATAAATTGCTTCGGCACAAAATAAGAAACGATCTCTCCAACACATAAATGGTTCTCTTCTCAGTCTTACCTTAACCTTACTATAGAGAGACTACCGAAAGATAGGCGCCCTCTCACCTAATACCCCATACTAAGGATTGAAAGTAGCACAGCTATAGAACTCCAGATCTACGAATAGCCGCGGGCAAGCACTTGACTCTGTATCAGTGCTCAAAGATCAGCTATTAAGGAACCTATCTGGACTTGCTCCCAACTGTTCCAAAGTGAAAGAGAACATAGCTGGCATTTTTCGTAGCCACATCTGGTCGAAAGACCTGCGGTAAAGAACATTAAAAGAACAAAAAGGCAAGAGTTTTCTTTCCCATTTCCCAGTCCTTGGCTCATTCACCGATGCTTTGACTCCTCTATAGAATAGACATCAATGTTGGGACTATCAATCAACAGGCCAGGCTCTGTCAACAGGTTCGGGTACTGGGTCAAGGTCCTGGGTCAAGGTCTGGGCTCCACTCACTAGGAAGATAGAAAAAAATGAGTAGTAGCGCTAGCGGCGCAGAAGGAGCTTGACACCACATCTTTCAAAAGTTCCCCGTGAGCTGGGTTCAACGTCGTGAGACAGTTCGGTCCATATCCGGTGCGGGCGTTAGAGCAAGACTTCTTCTTCCACAGACAAAAGAGTTCCATCCATCATTTTAGGATGATTCCAGAGACATTCCTGGATAGACTAGCAGGATATCTCACGTAGAAGAGAGATGATGATCGCTCAGTACCGTCAATTTTATCATTTTACCAAGATTTATCTTTCTTCAAGATAATGGTACTCATTCTAGCCCCAATCCTTTCCTGTCCCTATAGACTCTGAGCACGAAAAGAGAGTCTTTCATTCTACAAGAAAAGAGTTCTTTCTAGTGGTACTTCTCCTCCGTTACATTCATTGTAGCAATCTGGTCGAGTAGCTTGAGTAGGATGTATGCATGCAGTCTGGGAACACTTTGGGGTGAACACCCATCCGAACAAGTAGGGTCAAGAGTTTAGCATTTAGGCCGTAACATTGAGCAAAAAACAAATCTACAATCTTTCATTCTATCAAACCTATTCACTCTTTCACTCGAGTATCTTAATGCATGTATTGAATTTCTTCGGAGCTATTAGAGCGGGATCCACTTTTTGGGGAATATGAGTCGAAGCAATAACAAGAATCTTTCTAGTGGAACATCTTTCCTGGATAGATAGTTTCTTGCTGAAGTCAAAGACCCAGCTATCTGGACAAAGAGACTAATAAGCCAATGTGACTTCCATGACAGATTTGAAGGGATTCGTTGCTGCCACAGGTATCGTGGATGCTGGTTTTTCAGGAAGCTCTTATACCTGGTGCAATAAGAATACTGGTACCAGGAGTTCCTCAGAGCACACAATAAAGAGTGTCGTTTTTCAAGCGGCCCGATTATGGTGCCCCAGTCCCATTACCCGCTCCGGTGATCTTAGCAGCTTGGCGGGGGGCCCCCCCCTGGGGGGCCGGGCCAACACGTGCCTCCGTACATCAGCTGACATCAAAAGAACTGCCTCCACGCCGCAGCCCCTCAAGGCAACAGAACTCCTATTATGCCTACCAAGCCTCCAAATAGACTCAAGCATCAAGTAACCAAAGAACCCTTCACAATGAAAGAGTGCGTCACTTGCGTCTTTTTTCCGCATCGAAAAGATTCTCTGATAGACTTCTCACTCTACCGAAAAAGCGAAGCGCCTATTTCCAGAATACTGCGACGAGCCAACCCTAGTACGAGAGGATATTGCCCGGCGCTGCTATTGGCATAACAACCAGTACACCATAGGTTGACCCAACCCAGTCCTCTCGTACTAGGGTTGGCTCCTCGCAGTTCTCCCTTTCACACCAACGGTTGATAGACTTCTCACTCTACCGAAAAAGCGAAGCGCCTGGAAGTAAAGGAGGATGTCTAATCCTAGAGTAGTTTCAACGAGTTGCCCTAGAAACCGCCCAAGAACGGAACCCCACATAGGCCTTCCCCAAAAACGCCCAGTAACTAAGGTCAACAAAGTAGAAAAAGCACCAATTTCTGTACCGGTTCCGGAAGAGTGAAGAAAAAGGGGATGGTTTTCCGTTGTTGGAAGCACTCTCAAGACCGGGAGTCGAGGTGGAAGAAGACGACGCGGACGAGACGGATTGTGGTGGAGTAAAGAATCGTTCTTTGTCCGAATCCGTTTCGGAGGATGCATGGCCGATAAGGGAGTCCGACGGAGAAGCCGGAGTCGCCGGAGACTCTGAGCTTGATGCGCCTGATGTCCCCTCGCCGAAAGGGATCATCATATGGGTGAAGTCCTCGCCTGTGAGCAGCGCTCGTCAAGCAAAGCCTACTGTCACTACTGTCAAGGCAAGCCCTGCTGAGCAGCAGCAGCCCAACCCTCTGAGAGCAAAGGATAGGGCTCGACCGCCCAGAGAGAACCCAACCTTTTCAACATGAAAGAAATCCATCAAGTTTCATTTCTTTCTTATTGACACGTATGTCAAACAAAAAAATGTCTGAATTCTTTTTTTTCTGTGAAACAAACTTCTGTTTCTGCCGAGTTTTTGAGAAGCGTTTTCTGCTCTACGGTCCCTAGGAGCGAAGGGTTAGGCAGGTAGTATGGGCCCTCTGACTTCCAGCTATGTGCTGTGTGCGACTCCCGCGAAGCGAATGAAGGTTCGCGAAGCGAATTCGAGCTTTCTCCTAAGGCTCCGCACCTTGCCTTTCAAAGCTGGGAATCCTAGGTTTCTTTAGTGACCACTTTGTCATGAGGAGTGAGGCCTAGCAGCTTTGGTGCTTGTCCCGAGGAACAGGGGGATACAAAAAAGTAATAAGAGAAGCGCACAGACCAATCAATCGTATCGGTCGTATTCTTGAATTTGGAATGAAAAGAGGAGTAATGCTTCCTAGCACGGGACGCGGAATAAGACCACTGAGATCGGAATAGCATTCAAAGAAATGTACAACGAAAGACCGAAAAGTAGATACCTTTCTTGGGTTTGTGCCCCACTGTCTTCAGTCTGGGAGGATAAATTTGACTCGATGAGGGCTCTGGGATTTTTCGGTCGGGATTCTCCTTTTTACATCTCCAGGTGAGATGGCTAGGGAAGGCCTATACATCTTTTTGCCGTCCGTATAGACTCGGATCATGAGTCGAACTAGATTCTCCCCGTAGTAGATTTCTGCATATTTCAGAATACTAAGTCAAAAGAACCGCCTTTGATTCGACCAACCTTTTCACCCACTCCTCTTTTCTATATAAATTGTGAAAGTAAACTAGATAAATACTAAGTCAAAAGAACTTGTATTTCTCTATGTGCATTACAAACGTTATTTCCAGTAGAAATCCGGAGCAAGTGGACAACAATGTTTCACCGGCGAACAATACAAAGGGACTGCTTTTTCAATGTATACAAATTCTACATATGAGTGCTATTAGTCATAATCTCGACTTTTATAAGGAGGAGGAAGCTGAACGGCACCAACTAGATGTCTTCCTCTTCTTCCTTTTCTCTCTCCATTCTCTCTCATCTATAAATAACGGTCCTTTTGTATGAAACCCGCAAGAAAAGACCCACCTTTCGTTCCCATCGCCGCAGATTTCTCACCGTGGACGGAGATGGAGAGGGGAATCGCGCCGGTTGAGGAGCTCACATCAGGAGCTAGCAGCCGCATCATTCCGGTTTTCAGGGATGTGCGCCGTTCCATTATCTCCCGTGAGGCGGCCATCCGCTTGTTGCTCTTCCTTCACTCCTTTTTCCTCTGGTTTCTAATCCTTATTCGTCTCCGCGGCGGGCGGAGCGCGCTCTCTTCGAAGTCGTCGGTCATGGCCGGTTCCCCTCTGCCATCTCCGAGGCGGAGGGGGGTTGTGTTTAGAAAGGGAGGGAGGTTGTCGGCGAAGGAGGAAGAAGATGCGAAGAGGAGGAGGGCTTTAGCGGAGCAGGTGGAGATGGTGTTTCCTTTAAACGGTGCTAGATGCTTATGCGAGAGTTTTGTGGTCATGGGAACGAAGAGGAACGCGCTCTTCTGCCGCTCGTGGGTTCCTGCGACCGGAAACATGAAGTATGATTTCTATACATCTTCTTTCCCTTTGGTTTTATTGTATTTCGTAGCCCACAGTTGGATTTGAGCTGTAAACATTTGAAATTTGGGATTTTTTTTCTTAAATTTTCCCTTTTGTTTGGGTTCCTTGCTTCCATGTTCTTCCTTTCTTTGTCTGATGAAGACGGATACTGATCATTGCCTTCCTTAATCTCTTAAGAAAGTAACTTTTACTTTGAACCGTTCAAAACTTGTGAAGGCAAGGCTCTGTAACTCGGATTCAGGTTTGGAAAGAAGTACACGTTAGTTTTTTCCTTGATAAATGCTTATTGCTGGTTTTGTTGGGGCTTATTATTATTTTACTGTTCTTTCTTTTTTTTGGCTTTTGTTACATTGTCTTGGTAACTGTAACAAATCCTTGTAAACTCAACTGCTCTACTTTTGGTCAATGAAACTTTGATTATTATTATTATTTTTTGTTAATATATCCTTAAGTGAATCTGTATTTTTTGTATCAATGTATTAATTATAATTCGTTTTAGTGGGGCTGTGAATCTTGTTGTTGATCATTTTGTCTTAATCTTCTAACGAAATGATGAAGATGGAGTTTATGGGTTTGTTTCATTTTTAATTCCTGCAAGAAAGAAGCATGCTACATCAATCTTGGTTGTGATATCATCAACGTTTATGCTGCCCAATTTGACAGATCTACTTTTTCTGTTTTTTAATAATTGAAGTCCTTTTTCAATTTCATTTTTATCCATTATTCTTCAAGATAAAGCTGTATCTTTCTGTGATATTGCTTAGTTTTGTTAATTTTAGGGTATTTTCTTTTGTTTTCTTTGCTATTTTCTCTGATGTTCTTCATGCTGACACTACATATTCTCCTGTTATATGACTAATCTTAATCACTTAAATCTGCAGGGCTATTTTGCTGATTATTCATGGTCTCAACGAGCACAGGTTAGAAGGAAACTTATGGCTTGTCAATTTTCGTAATTCTATTTAACTTTAGCTTCTCCGCTTGATGAGACTGTAAGAAAGAAAATTTGGAAATTTAACTGCAATAGAATAAATTATTTGCTTTGTATTAGCTGTGTTTAGCTTGATACATTGACCTTGTTTAAGATTTAATGACTGTCGTAATCTTATTAGGCCTAGTTACGTTATTGCTCGCTTTTTTGCTTGGAGTTGTCAATTATAAGAATTGGTTGTTCAATTTATGAGGACTTTAGCACAATTATTAACATTTTTCCTCTGCTTTTTTGCTTACAAACTTACCATTTTGATTTTCAGTGGAAGATACGCACATTTCGCATCACAATTGACGTCATGCGGCTTTGGAGTATTTGCAATGGATTGGATTGGTAGGTTATTTTACTTTATACTCGAAGTTACAAGCTGTGAAGTAAATTTAGCTCTAGATCTCCTAACTCAAAAGTATATGCAATGGATTGGATTGGTAGGTTATTTTACTTTATACTTGAAGTTACAAGCTGTGGAGTAAATTTAGCTCTAGATCTCCTAACTCAAATCTGCCAATGATGAATTTTCTAATTATTGATATTTTTTTTGATATGAGTGCAATATATGGTTAATCAATCAACTCTTATAAAAGGTTCTCAACCACCAACATAAACTAAGAACATAATAAGAGCTTCTAAACTTCAACAACATTCAATTGTTTAATTCACCGAAAATTAATTGAAATCTAACTATTACAACAATTTTCCTTAGAAGAGATGAACTTTTTTCAATTCATATAAATAATATATAATATTAATATCCTTGACATCAATCTAGAAACTCTTCTTAAAATGACACACAACTAATAGCTCAAAATTTGCAAGAGGCGATAGGTGTAATATTGCAAAAAATAAAGTCTCGACTTTAGGTCCATTAGCCCGGTTAGCCAATATTATCATCTGCAGGTTACTACTGGCAATCATTTCCATCAAACACTAATACAGGCACATATATATATGTGATTTCTTGAAAATAATGATATGAAAAAAGATTTCATGAATAGTTTGAATAACATTTAATTCATGTAAATAATTTTAATGTTCACGCACAATAAATTTTATCATCATATGGTTCATTTTAAGAGCATGAAAGTTTATGCAAAAAAATACCATGGCAAAGTTGATTATGCATCATGTAAATGTAGAAATCAGGATTAAACAAAGCATGATCAACAATATATTTTATATACCAATGGATACCCTGATAAATTTCATGGTAAATGCCTCTAATTAAGAATGATATATTTGTCCCTTAATGTGTAAGAGCTCTAAGATTCTTTTTATAAATGGATGCATTAATAAACTTGCCTCTAATTAAGAATGAAATATTTGTCCCTTAATGTGTAAGGCTCTAAGATTCTTTTTATAAATGCATAGCTAATTACAAAAAAAATTGATAGAATATATTTAATCATTATAATCATTAAGTGATTAACTTGATTAATGAAGACTATGAATATAGTGATAATCTAATCATAAAGTTGACTATTTTTGATATTTTTCAGGCCATGGTGGTAGTGATGGATTGCATGGATATGTCCCTTCATTAGATTGGGTGGTTGCGGACACTGTAAGTTGCCTGCATCTGATTATTATTTCAGCTACATCTGTTCAAATAGTCTCATCCACCTGTTTCTCTACAGCTGAATCTCGTCTTTTTACATATCATAATAAAAATCTAGCTTTAATCTTCATTTTCTTGACTGATACAGGAACTATTCCTGGAGAAGATTAGAGAAGAAAATCCTGGCGTGCCTTGTTTTCTCTTTGGTCACTCTACCGGGGGTGCGGTGGTGTTGAAGGTTGTAATTTCTTAAGATTTCATGGACTTTTTAGCACTATTTCTTCCATATTATTTCTTATGCTTTGTTTTTTGCATTTGTTAAACAATTCAGGCAGCTTTACTTTCTCAAATGGTAGCAGCTCTGGAGGGAATTATACTAACATCGCCGGCACTGCGTGTTAAACCAGCTCATGCATTAATTGGGGTAAAGTGTTCAACTCTGCTTTCATGCATTCTTGCTCAGTTAATTTTTTTTGTGCAATTTAATATCTAATGGTGTTGTGATATTTTCAATTATGTAAAGCATTTGTGTAATGAACTGCCTTACATTTTTTAACAGGGGCATTCACATACATGCCACACAATTCCTATGAATTCAGATTGATTTTTAAATTTATAACACTCAAATCTTTCACATCACATCATAAATATCATCTTCACTAATTTTTAAAATGAGAAATACACATTTTCTTGCTAAACTGGTATAAATGTAAATTTCAAAGTTGACATGCATGTAAATATCTCAAAAAAATAAACTTTTTGGAGGTTATAAATGTACTAATTTTCGAATGGCAATATTTTATAACTGCAATATACCATATAGTAGATCTGGCGGTAAAAAGCTCCTTATTACATGAATTTCTAAAGAACAGTGAGAGAAATTTGTGTGTAAAAAAGATTGACATAAAATTGTTGCAAATGTAACCAAACTCATTCTAAGGATATGTTTGGGATATCTTTTCATTTTTAAAAGTTTCATGATGTAAAATAGTATTTATGTTTTACACCATCTTATTACAAAAAAAAATGTATATTATCTTACTACAGTTCAGCAACAGGGACCTTATATATTTTTGTCCTGATTTTTGCTGGTTAAGATTAGCAAGTGGAGTACAACACTTTCAGGCAACACCATCAAGAGAAACCATTATTGATTGTCCTTTATTTCATCATGAATGTTTACCTATCTTTTTTTCTTCTGGACCTGCATAATCTTACTAAATCCTTGGCCATCTTTAATTAGCACTGAAAATACTCTTTCTTAGGGCCCACCTTTGGCTTCAATTTAGTTTCCTAGTTTTATTTTTTTACTTTTTTTAATTATTGAAAAATATATTTATATCATCTGGTAGGCCATGGCTCCAATATTCTCCCTGGTACTACCCAAGTATCAATTCAAGGGAGCAAACAAGAAGGGTATTCCGGTTTCAAGAGATCCAGCCGCCATGCTTGCCAAATACTCAGACCCACTGGTCTACACAGGACCCATCAGAATTCGCACCGGCCACGAAATCCTGCGCATCTCCGCCCACCTCATGCAGCATATAAGCGCCGTCACCATCCCCTTCTTCGTCCTCCATGGAACTGCAGATAGAGTCACAGACCCTCTGGCTTCTCAGGATCTGTACAACCAGTCTGCTTCCAAGCACAAACACATCAAGCTCTACCAAGGCCTTTTGCACGACCTTCTCTTCGAGCCCGAGCGCGATGAGATTGGTGCAGACATTATTGAATGGATGGAGAGCAGGTTGGAGCAGTGAAGGTGATGATGAATGGAGAAAGGAGAAGGTGAAGGAGATGCTTTTGGTTTGTTTACAGTTACTAGCTAGGTGGTAGCTTTTGTTGCTGTTTTATGGGTAATTTGTATTCATCTGAAGCCATTCTGAATTTGTTGGATGGGAATGAGATTTTGATGTTGTTAATGTTGTTAGATACTTTTAATTGTATTAGCCATATTATTTTTATCAGATATGTTTCTGAAATATTTTATTGTAATATTTTTTAACCGGGACTGAAGATGTAAATATGATTTTTTAGTAGTAGATATTTTTTAAAATGATTTTTTTTTTTATTTGAATTGATTAATCATATGTTATTCTCATTAAATGGAGAAAAGGGGGGATTTTCAATTGATAAACGCCTCATTTTAACATATATATTTCGAGCTTAAAAAGTGTGTTCGTGTTCAGCTCGTTTGTTTAGTGAGTCAAACACGAGCCCTTCACGAACAAATCGTCGTTTTGACAACCCATATCATGTAGTCATAAGATGTTAAGGATTTGGACAAAATTTAAAACATCATTTGAATCTAATTTAATAATTTTTATTCTATTTTCTTAATTAATACTTTTAATAGATTATAAATCATTGTAGCCTTGTAGTCAATTAAATTTTTTAAAAGTAATACTCATCAAATATATATATATATATAATTGATTAGTAGTATTTCAAACTAAAATGTCTCGAACACGAACGAACAAATATTAGTTCGTATTCGGCCCCGTTTTGTTTTGTTCGTGTTCGGCTCGTTAAGCTTTTCAACGAGCCGAACACGAGCTGTTCACGAACAACGAGTCATTTTAACAACCCTAATCATGTAGATAATTTATAATTTGTATTTTTAATATTAATTTTTGAAGAACTATTGGTATACTTTATGTTCAAAAACATGTGAAATTCTTTTTTTTAATATTATTTTTTCTTGGATCCAAGCTGTTTAGGATAGTTTATTTTATAGAGCATTAAATTTATTATTTTTTATTAATTCATTTTTAAATGGTATAAAAAAAATAAGTTGTTTATTACAAATAGTTAATTATTGTTGCTAATCAGATGCTTTTAATATTATTCAGAAATTTACCTAGCTTTTTCTATATTTACATTAATATCCCTTTAAAGTGTCTTTCTTTGAAATTGAGTGATGGCAATATTTTTAGTATGATTCGAGTGATTTCAATGTTAGATATATAAATATCAAAGTTTATGTGTTAAATATATAAATTCATGAGAATTGTATGGTATATATGTAAATGCTGCTAAAAAAACGGTGGAATTAAGGGGATATGGAATATTAATGAATCAGCTTGTCATTAATAAATGCTAGCAACTAACTTCAAGCAAAGGCTGCTAACGAGTAACGACACCCCCATTAATTTTCTATAAATGATGAGAATAAAGCATAAATAAAACATTTAATATAAAATTGTGGATTAAATTAAAGTTCTTCTAACAATCCTCTTCTTCTTTCTCAAAGTAAATTCATTTTCTCACAAAATGAATCAATAAAAAGAATTAATTTAGCAGAAGTATCAATTACAAAGTCAGAAACCAATTAAAGCCTTCTAATTTTTTTTTTATTTTTTTAAGGATTGGCCAGAGGTTATTATACGAGACTTCAACCACCCCTAATGTGCCTAACAGTTTGTTTGCCAACTTCTTAAGGCCAACTATGCCAAAGGAAATTCAAACACCCAACCTGAGGGGTCTACGCCATTCCGAAGCCAATTAGAACATCTAAGTTCTAAATTCATTAATTTATTAATGCATTTATTACTCATTTTGTTTTGGGTGAAGCGTAAAGAGCAGCATCTTTAATAACAGTACAAAAGTGAAACTTTTTTTATAGATAATATAAATTATACAGTACTTGAAAGGAAAATTTACACAGCATATCACACAATTCTTAAGTATTTATATATCTAGCAAAATATTGATAATTATATTTGTAACATTTCGGTGTTATAAATTTTTGCATTAAAAGTAATATTTCACTGTAAGAAAAATAGAAAATGTGATATTTTTAATACAATATTACAGATTTCCCTTAAATGTTATGCATGAAAACATGTAAATATATGAAAATTGTTTGGTATGTAAGTAAATGATCCTTATTAATAATTATAAACCTGCTGCAAATAGAGCATGTTGTGAATAGGATTAATAATTATAAACCTGCTGCAAATCGAGCATGTTGTGAATAGGACTGTAAACGAGCCGAGCTTGAGCGAGCTCAGGCTTGGCTCGTGTTCGGGTCGTTTGAAATAGCTTGTGTTCGAAATTGGCTCATGAATAATGTGTTTGTGTTCGGCTTGATTTAAATATTCGTGTTCGTGTTCGGCTCGAAATTGGCTCGTTAAACTAAAATTGAGAAAAATAGATGCAAAGTGCGGGATTCGAACCTGGATCAAATATATACAAAAGAAGACACTAATCACATTGCCACATGAGGTGTTATGATTTAAACTTAGACATAAATATATATATAATATATTATTATATAAATAATATATGTAATATATTGTTATATAAAAAGTTATATAATTTTTTTTTCTTCGAGCTTAAAAATTTGTTCGTGTTCGGCTCGTTCATTAAGCCTAACGAGCCAAACACGACCTGTTCCCGAACAACGAGCCAAATTAACAGCCCTAGTTGTGAAGGCCTTTAATAATTTTGAGTCGTTTAATTCCCTTGGATACTGAATTTAAAGAAATATGTTAAAAGATAAGACTAAGCTGTGATAAAGCGGAATCAGAAATTAAACAAAATAATCTCAGGGTTGTATTATCCTTCCCATCCAGCAGCAAATTTGCGACTTTTGGGGCTCACCAACACCAAATATACATCTCTCAAGGCAACAGAAGGGAGAAAAATTCATCATATAAGCAGTACACAGAGAAAACTATGGCTAAATTCTAATGATAATTTCTGAAACAGTAAACCTGGTAATAGGCTGACCAAAGTGCTTTCAACACTGAAGAACAGGGAAACAGAAGAGATTACACAGCTTCAGAGCTTCAAATTCCACTCGCTGCAATTTTCCAGCATCCTACTGAACTGTCTTCTCTTCCGAAGCCTCTCCCTCTGCGTTTGAGTTCTCAGTGTTGTTATTAATGGTGCTCTCAGCTTCAAAGTTATTGCCTCCCTCAACTTGAACAGCCTCCACTGCCGGAACCTCGTTGGTAGAATCGTCTGAATTTATGATCTCATTGACTTCAGATGATTTCATGGCTTTATCATCTGATGCAGCATCATTCCCTTCTTCCTTAACTGTATGAACTTCATTCCCAGTTGCTGCTATTTCAATAACCGGATCAGAACCAGTCAAATCATCAGAGTTTCCCTTTTTATTTTCACTGGCCTCGCCAGCATCAGCGTGTGTAATCTCTTTGTTTTGATCTTCAGAACCTCTTTGCTCAATAGCTTCAGAAGATTTCCCTTTTTCTTCAATAGATTCATGGGAATTATTTTCAGAATCAGTCTCCACCTTAGCATCCTCATTGTTTTCTTGCAGTTCTGCAACCGCGTTATTATTAGCTTCTGATGAAATTTCTTTTGGAATCAGTCCCTCGGGGTCAGAAATTTTATCTGATTGGGAACCAAAAGAGACATCATTTGAAGTGTCACTGAAATTCGATAAAATTTCAATCTCTTTATCAGAATCGCCATCGATCTTCATTTCTCCTGAAGAGTTTTTATCAGAATTCTCAACTTCAGAAGCATTTCCAAGTTGAGGTTCAACCTCTCCCTCTTTAGAAGCCTCATTATCATTATGAAGAGAAGTATCACTGTTAAACGCATCAGTAACCTGATCATTAGTTGATTTTGCATCATCTTGTGTTGAACTAACATGAGCGTCATCAGAACCTGCTCCGCCATCGACAAGAACAGTCTTATTATCATCAGTAGTTTCAGAAAGAGACTTTATATCTTTATCATCCACTGACACCGCCTCTTGATGTCTTGCTTCACCATTTTCTTGTTCATTCTCCTTTCCAGTAGAGACTGAAGGGGTCTCTTCACCTTCATTACTATTCTCGTTTTGGTCAGAAGAGTTTTCTCTCTCCCTCTCATTTGGCAAATGAAGAGTTTCCGCTCCATTATGAGAATCAGAATGTTCCTCTAGTGAACTTTCTTTCTCCCCATTAATCGAATTACTTTCTTTAGAATCATCGAGTTCAGGATTGTGAGAAATCTTCTTAGACTTTTCTTCAGTATTTGAATCAGAAGAATCCTGCTTAGCTTCATCTTGCTTGATTTCAGTGCTTTCGTCAGAACCCTGAGAACTGGTGTCTATGATGATGACATTTTCAGAACCAGCATCACCCTTACGGCCCAGAGAGACTTCTTCGCCTCCATCGCTGAGCTTTCGTTCATCATTTCCAGCAAATTCAATCTTTTTCTCGCGAGAATGCTTAACTTGGTATAGCAGCCAACAAGCAACAGCAAGAAGCACGGTCACTTGAAGTATCTTCTTCACGTTGGAGCCTTTGGACCTGTGGTTTCGACTGCTTGAATAGTGAAACATTGCAGTTCTTGTAACAACTGTAGAATTCCAATAGAGTTAGCAGAGCTATAAAATTGGTAAGCATGCAAGTAATCTTAATATTCCTAAGTTCAAAGCAAGGGCAAGCTTCACGTAATAGAACATAAATGTCACTAAAAAGTTCTTAATTATTTTCATTTCATTTTTGCTTAATCTTTCACGTCTCTCTCATTTTCTATCATAATCTTCCATTTCTTAAAGACTTCAAATACATCATAATTATGCCTTAAGAAATACTCATGACTTTCCCATGTGATCATCAATGAATGTAACAAAATAGTGAGACCATCCAATTGACTGAACTAGAGCAGGACCTCGTACATTAATATGCACTAACTCCAGTTTCTTTGACTTCATCACTAAACCGCTCTTCGAGAAAGAAATTTTCTTTTGCTTGTCATATATGCAATATTCACAGAAATTCAGATCAACTGATTTTAAACCCTAAAACTTATTTTTATAAAGTAGGGACTTCATACATTTCTCACTCATATGACCAAGTCTACCGTGCCACAAACTTGCATCCCCCCTGGTTCCAACAACATCAATGAAATCAACCACTTCATTGATCAAATAAATGGTGTCTTCAATGTTGCCCCGAGCTATCACTAATGCCCCATTGTCACCTTCCATGAATCACCTGTGAAAGTTGTCATGAGTCCTGACTTTGCCAGCATGCTCACAGAAATAAGATTTCTCTTCAAACTTGGAACATGTATGGCATTAGTAAGCTTCCAAACTGTTCTATTTGACAACTTGATATCAACATCACCCTTTTTAATTATACTGCAGGCCTTATTATCTCTGAAATAAACCTTCTCTAGATCACTCTAAGCGTAGTTTTTGAGTGTCTTTTTATTAGGGCAAGCTTGAAAAGATGCACATGAATCCACTATACAGGACTCAGTGCTAACTAAGGATAACACTAGGGATTCATTTTGGATTTCACTTGTAGAGACATTAGTAGAAAAACTTGGAACTTTGCAGTCTTTTTTGAAATGCCCTTTCTAACCGCTAGGGGTGTAAACAAGTCGAACACCAGCGAGCCCATACTCAGCCCGTGTTCGGCTCGTTTATATTTCGAGCTCAAAAGGTGTGTTCGTGTTCGACTTGTTTGCTTAGCGAACCGAACACGAGTCATTCACGAACAAAGAGTCGTTTGCCGCTCATTTGAGATACAATGATTCACCCTCTACTCTTATGTTCTTGTTAGGCTATGATAATATAGTGTGGATCCTATGAGTTGAATTTGTTATGAAGGCCTTATATATTGATCAGTCGCTACCCATTTGGGATGTGAGTGACTCACTCTCTTCCTTGTGTCTTTGCTAGAGCTTTGAAAGAATTAGGATGTTTCTGTGAAATAATACCCTTTCGGTGACCTATTTACTGGTCATGATAATGTAAGCAAGTTTATTTTATCGAGAGTATTCTTGGGTATCCCCGAAGATGTAATTAACCAAAGGGACGAACACAAGCTTCTTAGCGAGCCGAACACGAGCTGTTCGCGAACAACGAGCCGTTTTGACAGCCCTACTAACCGCAGTTCTAGCATTCTCATCTTCTTGACTTGGGCTTTCCTTTCTTAGAATTGGATCTGCCTCTGCCTGTATTACTGTCCATATTTCTTCCTCTGTTATCAACATTAAACACAAAATCTGAAGATTCATCATTTGTTAATTTTCTGCGAACTTCTTCATTCAGCACCACATCCATAATATCATCGATGTTCAATTTCGAAATCCCTGAAAAATTACTCACAGTCGTTACCAAGCAATCCCAACTTTTTGGCAAAGACATTGAATCACCAGTGTTCTGATCTTGTCAACAAATTTGATCCACACAGAACATAACTGGCTTGTCACAGTGTTGAAGTTATTAAGATGCTCTGTCACTGAACTGTCTTCCACCATCTTTATGTTGAATAATTTCTTCGTTAACAAAAATCTTATTAGAAGCAGAAAAATCTTATTGGAAGAAGAAGGTATTTCGTATGTCCCAGTTAAAGCCACCATGAGATCCACCGCAGTTTTCTCATTTGTAATGTTGAATGCGACAAATGAGAAAAGTGTTAACCTGATCAAGCCCAGTGTCTTTCGATCGAACACTTCTCATTCCTCCATAGTTATAGACTCAAGTTTCTCCATGATTCATTGTAGTGGCAAGTAAAACTTTTTCTGATACAACAAATCCTCCACTTAGATCTTCCAGAAAGCGAAATTCGTCCCATTGAACTTCTACACCTTGAACTTTGCTTCTTTGATCGTTGCTCCAACTCGAATCGAACCCCTCTCTCATATTAATTCTTGTTCGGAATCCTCCAAATAATTCTCAATGTCACAGCGGAATAGGATCACATGATTTGAGAAAACCGGAACAATAAATCTAAACCGAAAGCACAATAAAAAAATAACCAAAAAAGAACATAGGAATTTTACGTGGAAAAACCCGATAACAGAAAAAACTACGGAGCCACGTCACGACAAATTTCAGTATGAATTTTAGAGTTTTACAAATGATTCACACAAATTTATTCTCCATACTCACACGAAGACACTTACAGTGCTACCACTCCACACTCTCCCTATTGATCTGACGCGGAAACGCATGCCGAAAAAGACCAGGATCCTTCTCACCTTCACCAGGATTTTGTTGATGAACAAACAAAAAGAGTTTCGCTCCAAGCCTGCACATACGCTACCCAAAATTGGTTTAAAAACCCAAAAAGTAGAGTAATTGCAACAAACGTTTAGAAACCCAGATTTGGTGCCTAAGCGCCAAGCTCTTAGAATCACACCCAGATTTGGCGCCTAAGCGCCAAGCTCTTAGGATCACCCCCAGCAAACTGGGGGCTTGAGCACCCAAGGTCGGTGCTTAAGTGTCGGCTCCTTTGTCCACCCAAAAATATGGGCGCTTGAGCGCTCAAAGGGGGCGCAAACGCGCCCCCTTCTTTGTCAGCGCCCAAAGATGGGCGCTTAGGCGTCGGGATATTGGTGTGCTTTGGATCCATATACACAACAAAGAGATGGAATATAATTTTCGGTATTGGTTGATCTAGTGGCATAACGGTAACAATGAGTGATTAAATTATTAAAATGAGTGAATGTTTTAGATATCTCGAGTCTATTTTTCATAGTGATGTGATATAAATAAGAATGTTATTAGTAGGATTCAAACGGGATGGTTTAAGTTGAGGAATGCATTGGGCTTATTATGTGATAGTAAAGTACCACTTAGATTTAAAAGAAATAATTAATAGGATGGTGGTGAGGCCAGCACTACTTTATGGCACAAAATGTACAAAATGTTGGCCTGTAAAAGAGAAGCATAAAATTTAAAGTTGTGTTGTAGTGATGAGAATGCTTAGGTGGATGAGTGGTTTTACACTAAGAGACAAAACGTGAAAAGAATATATCCCTGAAAAGATTGGAGTAGCTCCAATGGCAGATAAGATTAGAGAGAGTTGCCTTAAATAGTTTGGTCTCATAAAGGTCGAACATCCGATGACACAGTTAGGAAAGTAGATATTTTGAATTTGACTTATGCTAAGAAAGGTAGAGGTAGATCTAACAAGACTTGGGCATGTTGCATAAAAATAATCTTAATTTATTAGAATTAAATGGAAAATATGACAATCAATAGGGCGCAATGGAGAAAAATGATTCAAGTAGCCGACCCCACTTAGTGGGACAAAGCCTTGTTGTTGTAATTATTGTATCAAAATTTAGCCTCCTTCATGAGAAGGCATGAAACCATATATAAACTCCTCGCTTAAAACCCATTTAGCATGAATTAGTCACACCTTTATATTGAACCCTTGTTGCCTGTTTGTAGCATATGTGAAATAAATTGGCCTTGATTAACATAGCAAGAATTGGATTTATTTACATGCTAAATTTATTCACATTAGGCGAAATTAAGGTTTGGAGAGCCTCCTGAATCATTATTTCCCCCTTTTAAACTCATTTGTCCTTACTAATCAGTAATCGCCATTATTCAGGACCATTATTCAGGAAGCAAATATAATTTATGGTTGACCCTCCAGTCAGCTCTAAGGATATATTTAATCCAGAAAATGTTATAGATGGCTTTTAGCTCAATCAAAACCTGCGAGTTTCAACATCTAGAAGAATTATTCTATTAGAAACGCAGCATATAACAAATAAACTTAATAAATAAAGCAAACTGCTTCTTCATTCTTATAAATCTCTGATGCGTTCTTATTTGATCTAGATTTTCAAAATAACAATTTGCAAATGCAAGAAATGCTTTGATACCAACTTGTTTTGGAATAAACTCAACACCACAATATGCTTTATTATAATATCAACTCGAGGAACAATGATGTAGAATATTTTTGAACCGATAGAAATTTTTCTGTATAAAAAGGCTGTGTGGAACCCAGGTTCGTGGGCTTTTTCTTACATATAATATTTTTCATGCATGCATGATTTAGAGTTGCTTTAAAGTATCAATCAAGAAACATGCAAGAATTCATGTAAGTTGAGGAAATGATCGATATGAAGAAAGTTATATTGCATTTGATAGATATCTATAATCTAATTAGAGTTTCCACGTAAACTATAATCCTCCTATCTTACTTGCAGAGAGAGAGAGAGAGAGTAGGATTTTGGGGTTTGCACATACGATATTGAACCTCTTAGCCCGAGATTCATGTTTAAAACTTAAAGATTTTTGGCACATGCTCTGGATCATAATTTTGTTAGATATAAGAGGGAGGTGGTCTAACCGAGCCAATTTGAAAATTGAGCCAAATGATACTCTAGTCCGCTAAGAAAATGGCACATAAATTTAACTCAATGAGCTAATGAGCCAAGCTTGAGCTAATCCCAACAAAAATCATTAGCTCATGAGATAATATGCTTAAAAAATAGTAATATAAAATACATTCAGAATATATTATAATTTAAGAGTTTAAATAATTTTGTTAGATTAAGAGGGAGGTACAGGTCTAACCGCGCCAATTTGAAAGCCAAAT